ATTATTATTATTATTATTATTATTATTATTATTATTATCATTATCATTATTAATATTATTGTTATTATTTATTTTTCTAATTGTCGTATTGGAAATGAACGAAATATTATTTAATCCTCACTGGCCGTAAGTTGGAAGAGCATCTTTTTTTTCCTTCTATTTATTTTCCCTTCTTTTGTTTAAATTTAGTATTTTTTTATGCACTTGTATCTTTTAAAAATCTTTTATTGTGATATTTTACGAGAGATCAGGATTCGAACTTTTAGCATACTTTAGCCATAATATAATCAATCCTACGTTTAATTATTTAATTAATTAATTGTCATACCATAATATAATAACAAATGAAAGCTTTAAAATTAAACATTATTCGCGAACATTCAGAAACGTTATATGTGGCCCTTTCAATTAAGGGATGGCTCTCATGAAGACTCGTATTCTTGTCAAACAATTACCGACTCACGGTAACTTTCCCCTCAAATTCTTTTCTTAAAAGAATAATTTTTACGTTCCTGAATATGCCGAGTAATGGCCTGTTAACTTATAATTATTGTCACCGAAGTTTTTTTTATTAATAATATATCCTCTAACTAATACGCTCGTTTTTCGAATCCCCGAAAGTACCGAATGAATTTACTTTATTTCAAGAAACAAACTCGATACGCCGAGGATTTTCTGGCAAAGTTATCAAACACTTTATTATCAACGTTTTATTATCGTTTTTTACTGTACGATAAGCCAACGGATTACCCTCAAACTTTTTATGTTTATAGTAAAGAATAAAAGAGAGAAAAGATCGGTCTACGTCGTTTGCAAAGAGCGTAAATATATATAAAAATAAAAAAAACATTAAGAATTATCAAAAAGTATGGAAATAGCGTCATCACGAAAATATGAAATCAAAAAACATTTGTTGAAATTTACAAGTGCAATTGATATCACAATTTTCAACGATTACTTCCTTATCGGTCGAACTCTATCTTTTTTTTGCAAGACATTTTTACAATACGGAAATAGAAAAATAAAATAAAAAAACAAAAGATAAAAACGAAAAAGATAAATAGCAAATTGTTACACTTTCCTCGTCTTTTGAGTATTAATGAAATTATGATTAATTAATGAGTTGAACTATATAAACTATATATACTCTATATAGAGTAAATTAGAGTTGTGTTAAGGCGTTACTTGTGTATAAATCTTTTTTTTTGTTTTCATTAGGCACACTAAAGTACTAAAGTCTTTTATCAAAGTAGCGTGTAAACTTGCATTTTCGCTGGCATTTAGATAAATCTTTCTTTCGTTTTTCTTTTTATCGTTCGTCCCTCCCGATTACATCGACGTCTTATAATATCGATATACGGTAATATAGATTTCTGTGTTTCCGACAAATTTTTATTAATCTTTGTACCCTACATTCTCTATATTACCGATATTCGTCGGTAAGTTAGAAATCGTGATAACCGCGGGGAAAAAAGAACGAAATTAATCTCCGAATGTATATTTTCTTTCCCCCCTCCCCACTTCCCACGACCATTTAATTAATTCTACCCTTGTGCGTCATATAGCTTATGCTATCCGATAGTAATTTTTCTCTTGCTTGTCGTCGCATTCGCGAACACATTGCCAACAATGTACCAGACAATAAGCAAATTATACTGCAACCTAATCCAACGATCGTGCTCATCACGTTCGATCTTAAACAAACTCTATCGTTTGAGGAATCATTTGCACCTAAAAATTCATATGAAATGTTAATATTAAACGAGAATACATCATATATATCTTAAATGTGAGATTTTAAATAGAAAAAAGTAGTTTTACCATTACGAGAAGCTGTTGTAGAATTTTGGAAAAGTTCCGTGTCAACTTCCCCTTCTTGAAGTACTCGAAGGGATTGGAAAAGATTAACATTTTCCGATAAACTAGTAGCAGGTGTTGTCGGTCCACCAATCATGTCTGATACGGATCTTTTCGCAACATTTTTAGCGTTTCTCCAATGGCATGGTTGACTCTAAAAGTTTAACGTGTTAATACGTGAGTGTTCAATGAGTGATTTTTTAGTTCGTTTAATTTGATATGATTGTTTTTCTTACTGGACATCGACCGTGGCACATACGAACATCGCACTCGATGTATAAAGCAGGCGATCCTGTAAATCTAAATGTCTTCATATAAGCAAAAACTTGGGTCTCGAATAGACCACTCTCAGACCAGGATCCACGAAATCTACTTATCAGTTTGTCGTCAACGGGACATCCGTACTGATCGATAAGCTGAATCCTCTTGTTCCCGCCATTATGGGCGTAACAGTCGTTCACGACGATATCAAAACCATCTATGTATGAAAAATAAAACATAAAAAAAACCAATGATTATTCCTATAACGAATGTTTTAGAATAAAGGGTATAGCCGGATAAGTATGGGAAATCTGCCCCCGTGGCTTTTTTGACTCGCACTTGGGGGATCGATTTGGTGTCGAATAAAAATAATTCACCTCAAATTTCAGCTCTTTTACTCAAACGGTTCTCGAGATTTTCAAAAAAACCTGTTTTTWTGATTTTATTTTTTTTTTTTATAGTAAAATTCAAAACTAATCAATGATGATTTTTTTTCTAGTTCTTAGGAGTCCAAGACATGAAAAAAAAGTATGATCATAATATTTAAACGAAAAGCCGATTTTTGGCAGAYGAAAGAAAATTAAAATCTTTTTTTTTAGCTTTTTTTGAATATGTCACTCACCAAAACTTGTCAGAAAATGTCTTTTATACTCCTCTACACTCAGGAATTTTCTTGAATTTTTTGAAGTGGTGGAATAATATGAACAAAATTAAAAACTTATTTTTTTTTTTCTAAAATCTCAAGTTTTAACTAATTTATATTTTTTTTTCAGTTAAAAAAAAAATGTGAAAAAATATTTTTTTATTCAAAATTCAGAATAACATTACTTATCAAACATTTTCAATCATTTGGTTTCACAATGATTACGTAAAAACTATTGTTTTTTAAACTCGCGCCGTGCTAATGCCTGCTCTCAAAGGAAAACGCAATTAGTTGACCACAAATGAATCGAATAAATCCCGTTTCGTTACCAAAATTCGTTGGGTTGTTGAAGCAGTACATGGCAATATTAAACAGAAGTTTAAGCTATTAGATCATAAACTGGATAACAAATTGCTTCAAAAAACTAGTGTTTTTTGTCGAATCGCTTGTTTTTTGCACAATGAATTTGRAACAAGACTTGATTMTGATCTTGATCTTRSAGAAAAAATAATTGCTGCCATGAATTCAAAAAAAGATCAAGAGAATACTTTAGCTTTGGAGATAGAAACTAATCGTTGGGCCAGAAGAAAAGTTCCCTTTGCAATAATAACTTCAGAGCAATTAACTGACTTTCCAGAATTATCAGAGCCAGAACTCAAAATTCTTTTCACTGGATCATATCAAATGTCTCAAGCTGTAACTAATATTATAAAGTTCGAAGTCAGATCTCGACATATTAATTCGAAGACATATCGTTGTTTTATTGAATATCAGCCAGATAAGAACGATATTTCCGGAATAACTCGATATTGTTGTGATTGTGCGAATGGTAGACGCACTGTTGGATGTTGCTCTCACATTGCTGCTATCACATATATTATTTATCTTACGCTCGATATTTGGCGAAAATTGTAAGACCTGCTGAGATCCTGAGTCGCCTGTTCATCGATGAAAAAATTAGTGTCGTAGTGAATGAAGACAGTGATGAAGACTAATATAGTTACATCTTTTATTATAATTTTTATTTTTGTTGCATAAGATTTAGAAATATATCTAACCGTATAGAAAATATATAAGTACCATCTTTAAGTGTATTTTCAATAATCAATAACCCTTCTTATTACGTTAGCGGAATATATCTTAATTGTTTTATAATAATCTTTATGTTTATTTCTGGTAAAGTGTATTTTAAGTAAAAATATATTTTTTCACATCTTTTTTTAACTGAAAAAAAAAATATAAATTAGTTAAAACTTGAGATTTTAGAAAAAAAAAAATAAGTTTTTAATTTTGTTCAGATTATTCCACCACTTCAAAAAATTCAAGAAAATTCCTGAGTGTAGAGGAGTATAAAAGACATTTTCTGACAAGTTTTGGTGAGTGACATATTCAAAAAAAGCTAAAAAAAAAGATTTTAATTTTCTTTCRTCTGCCAAAAATCGGCTTTTCGTTTAAATATTATGATCATACTTTTTTTTCATGTCTTGGACTCCTAAGAACTAGAAAAAAAATCATCATTGATTAGTTTTGAATTTTACTATAAAAAAAAAAAATAAAATCRWAAAAACAGGTTTTTTTGAAAATCTCGAGAACCGTTTGAGTAAAAGAGCTGAAATTTGAGGTGAATTATTTTTATTCGACACCAAATCGATCCCCCAAGTGCGAGTCAAAAAAGCCACGGGGGCAGATTTCCCATACTTATCCGGCTACACCCTTTCCCTGTTTTTCTTAATTCTCCTTATTTTACCAAAAAAAAAAAACTATCTAATATATATATATATATGTTTTTAACGTAATACCATAAATAATTTTCGATTTAATTATGATTAGTAAATATCCTGATATTAACACAAAATTTAATATCATATATTTGTTTTAAATTAATCTAAATACATGTGATTGAAGTTAATTTAAATTGTACTCATAAAAACATTATATTATGCAAATAAATATATGTATATATACATCGTGCACGTATATAATAGAAATGGTGGATTTGTCGAGTTAGTAATAAGAGACGTCCGCATGCGGTCAGGTCGACGATGCGGAAGGTAAAATAGGATAGATAGTTAGGCGTGTAAGTAATCTAATGTATAAAATGGAAATACGTGACGCGTGCGTTTTCATTGTGAAGGAGCGAATCAAAGTTAGGGTTAGATAGCATCGTACCGTATTTACTGCGCATGTAGATAATGAGAGTCAGAGGATCGCCGACGCGAACTGGTCCAGCCACTCTAGTTCCAGTGGTCCCGTAACCGTATCTGATTTCCATGTAGCACTCTGGTGGCTGGAGGGTGAAGACTACGGGATTTCCCGTGGCGACCCTGAAAGTGGACGCACTGCTATAGTATAGAAATTGCCAACGATCCGTCTCCGTTATCTAACGTATCCAACGATTCCACGGTGTTGGATAACGGGCATAGCGAATAGTAAAAGGAGGAGGGAGGGGTATTGGAATGGAGAATCGATTCGAAATCAACGATAATCGATCGATTACTCGCTTGAATTATCTTCATCCATTTTCTATCGCGATATTTACTTTATCCTTCATTTAAAAAAAGAAAAAATATTGTATCTATTAGCAACCTATACACGCTCTTGGATTTTGTTTATTTTACGTGGTGATTACGTTTTTTTTTTTTTATTAATAGAGGAATATATTATAATCAATTCTCAGGCAATAATTTAAAGTAATTTTTACTGAAGTGCTACATATAGAATCCTTTTTTGTCTACACAGTAAATTATAATAGAGTTTTCCAGCAAATTATTTGCTAAACAATTTTTGTAGCGTTCACCGAAAATACTGTAATTACGTGATGTGAAAAAAAAGAATAAAAAGAATTAATTTAAAGGAAAATTGCAAAATTTTTATTAATATAAATCTCTTAATTCATACCACATGCGTATGTTTTAATAGAATCTGTTTATTAAAAATATTAAAATTAATAATTAAATAAGAAAAACAGTGGTAAAACTTACTCGACATCAAGAAAGGGAAACGTTACTGTCTTCCAAAAATCGTATCCATACTCGCAAGTGACCTTGAAATGTTCGTCGAATTCTTCCTCGATCAGCGGATTGTATTGGACGGTTACTGTGTTCCACATGAGATTTTTCTACGGTATAGAATAATCGAACAATGATGAGAGTATTTTTGTTTAATCTTACAATCTTATAGTCGATCAGAAGACGATCAAAGATCAAGTCACTCACACCAACAAAGATATTTTCTTTGTTCGTTATTATCATTAAATGCATTTTCCTCTCTTTCAATTCTTTTTTTCGTCTTGTTATTATTATTATTATTATTATTATTATTATTATTATTATTATTATTATTATTATTATTATTATTATTATTTTTGTTCTCACTTATATACGCACCGTGGGGTTCTTTCTGCTGTCCTGGTGATGAGTATTCTCGCCCAGAGTGCCGCACCGATTCAATTGGATGTAAAATTCATAGTAATCACGGCCCGTTCCGTTAACGTACATGCAGTCCGGATCGTAGGAGTATCCTATAATTAAAACCGATTGTCCTTGACGAATAAAAACCATATAGTAGAGATTTGAATCTCTAGATCCTCGAGGAAATTCTGACTACGTAATAGCATCTTAAAACGATTCTATCGTTTTTATCTATCTATCTATCGATCGATACTCTAGTTATATCGAATAGTATTGTCTTCTAAAGATAAATTATCTAATGAGTAGGTATAAAACGGTTTTATCTGTCACACTTTACCTGCTGAGTAAAGTAATCCTGTGAACGAGCCATTAAAACCGATTCTGATTTTCATATAGTCATCTTGGCACTCTGCCTCGATATCTGTAATAATAGATAAAAATATATTTATGTTAATACGTGTGTTCGTTAAAATTGAGGATAATATTAATTTAACAATATCAGTGTTAAAAATTTTTGTAAGGTTATGTGCTATTATTCGGATGAATTTTATTCGATACCGATTTTAAACAAACTGATGTGTTACCGAACATTGAAAAATACAAAATTTTACTTTATTTGACAAACATAAAAATAATTGTTTCTGTTTTTCAATATTCAATATTCATATATTCAAATAAATTATATTCCATACTTAAAATAATTATATTTAATATATTTTTCTAATTGTTAATGAAAAATAAGTATTATGTTACTAAATCGATAAACAAAAAAAAACAATTTTATTCTCTTTCAATATTCAAACAAATATTTATTTAACATCTGTGTATATTTCGTTAATCAGTAATAAAATCGATATTTATTACTTTTTTATTGCATAGCAATAAATTATTTTCCTTTGTTTCAAGCGTTATATTAAAAACAAAAAAATCGTTTAAAAAGAAATCTCGATGTAATTCGTGCTAAAAAAAAAATAAATCCTATGGAGGAAGCTTCATCAGTAAAAAAAAGTAGTCGTGGAAAAGAAGGATGAAGAGTGAAAGTGAAGTATGTAAAGTATGTTTCGTTTGGGTGTAATAGTCCCTTGATACTCGCTCATCGTGGTTGAGCTAAGAGCAAACGTTTACGTCGTACCGATGTAATCTTAAGAATTGTGTTGGATAAAGAGAGATATTTTAGATGAAGAATGAAGATAGTTCCACTTGGAAGAATGTACGTCTCTCTCTCCCTCTCACGATGATACAACTAGGCACATATTTACTATACCATCCCTTCTAACGTTGGCAACATTTTCGAGCAACATCTTCTTATCTCTTTCTCTTTCTCTCGTTTTTATTTTTTTTTTTCGTTCTATCCTTCTTTTTGTTTAACGTATTCACGCGTGCGTGCATGCATGTATATATGTATGTCATGTAACACATGCACGCTTATTAGAATTGCGGATGCCATGCTTTGTGTTCATTGTCCGGTAAAACGACGCTGCGTAGACAATAGAAGGGATTGCACAACTTTGATATACGTTCTATGATAAGCGAGAAAAAGGGTGGTAATGGGGGTAAAGAAAATGGCCGAGATTTATCGCTGTAAAACCATGACAAGTAAAAATAACAATAACGACAAAAAATAGTTATTAGTATGTATAGTCACACTAGACGCACTTACGTTTAAAGTCATCACACATGACAAAATGATGTTTAGTCATACTTATGTTAAATACTATTATGTCTTATTACATACGTAAGATTACAAATTCGAGTCATATTTAAACACATTTATGTCGAGTCATACTCAACATTCTAATGCCAAATTAAACTTTTAGGTGTGCACACTTTCGTAACGAATCATTAAATGCATACTGGGTCAAATTCGATCTCGGACAATATTCTATTTTAAATATCTCGATAACTATAAGCCTATCGACAAAAAAAGGCAGAAATACTTTTTCTAGTAAGCTAATTAAGGGGGTATTCTGGTCTAGAGGCATGAATTTTAGATACTTTTTCAAGTGTAATAACAAAAAGACGAATAATATTTTCACTATCTATAATATTCCAAGATATTCATTAATATTTCGAGAATGCATGGAAAAAAAAATAGTGAAAAAATTCAAAATTGAAAAAGATATAGGCTGATGAGGTGGGGGGTCTCAAAAAAACGGCACGCGACAAATGTCAAGATTGCAGCTCTCTTGGTAATATGAAATAAAAAATTAAAACGGATTATTAATTTAGAATAATGCCGCTATCGTTCGAACTAAAAGAATTGAAAAAAGTTTTTTTTTCGCGAAATTACAGCTGTTTGAAAGAAAGATACATTATTTTTACCATTTTTTTTTATTTCTCCGAATTTTTAAAAAATAGTAAAAATTGAAAATTTTGTAAGATTTTAGTTTGCACGATAGAGTAATGCATAGAAAAGGCTCTCAAAAAAAAAAAAATTTCAAGCAAATCGGTTTAGTAGAATTTGAGATATCTTGACAATTGTGAAAAAAAAAACAGTTTCGAGAAAAACGCGTTCAAAGTTTCGCGTACTAAGGGTAGGATATAGGATGCCGTGTCAATAAAACAGCTATATCTCCGAAAATAAATTGAATTTTGAATAATCCTCTTGAGGACATATGTTTAAAATGTCAAGCTTTGAAAATATGAAAAAAATCGATTTTTTGAAATTTCTAGACCAGAATACCCCCTTTAACTTTAAATCTGTGCAATCAGAGTTTGAAAAGAGAAAAAAATGTAATTATCAAAAAACGTGTTTGAAATTGATGTTTGTCTCGTTGGCATAAAACTAAATATTTATGTAGTCAAATCGATCCCTTAATGCATACTAACAATAATATTTAAAATATTAAATCAAGTTTGATTTATTAATAAAAAAATGTTCTTCCAAAAAGAAAGCAAGGAGTGCAAGGTACAAAGGTACAATATTTTTCTCCCTCTGGAAAAAAATAGTATGAAAGAAGATAAGTATAATAAAAAGTAAAATAAAGATATAAAAAAAAAGTATATTATATTATAATATAACTTAAAAAAATAAATTTATTATATTATAATATATAATAAAAGTATAATAAAAAATATAATAAAATAAATATTATAAAGTATAAATATCCAGGACTATAAATGTGAAATATTTCGTATGACAAAATCAATTTTTGTGCTATCTACAAAGCAACACTTTTTATTATTTCGTTAGAGTGACCTTGACGTAATATTAAGACCATTAAATTGGACTTAAGAATGTCGATTAACACTTGACACGATTAATAGTCGTTTAGGGTAATGAGGAGACACCAGATAAAATGAGAAATAGAATAATTTAAGGATGAGAACTTGTATGAATCATGCATGTACCAGAGGATACATTAAACTTAATGGTCCTTCTTTCGAGTAATTGACGATACCGCGGGTGGCCTTATGGTTCCCGCGGTGCATGGCGGCCGTCTTTACGACTTCATTGAACCTTACACAAGGTTTTATCTCTTTCCATCTCCTACCGCGTGCCTTGGCATCTATCATTTATAACTACGTGCCTTTTCTCTTTTCGCACGCTCATCGACGATAGTTCGCGTATCCTCCTCCTCCTCCTCCTCCTCCCTTTTCTCTCATCCCAGCTTGCTTGCCCTTTTCTTATCCTTCTCCTTCTCTATTTCTTTGAAGAAAGAAAAGTCGAAACGATCGATGAGATCTTCGACCTTCTAATCGATAACAAATTTTCTATTTCTCTTAAAGTCATTTAAATTAGCTAGGAATCTTTAATTAGTATCTAAAAGGATGTTTTAATTTTTTTTTCCTTTTTTTTTCTTGCAATTACATATGATAGTAAGAACCTAGGTTTTTGCAAGTTTGTAAGACGGAAATTTGTATAAACGTTATGTTTAATTAGTAAAGATTATTTTTAATTATCTTTCTGAATTTTTTCTTTTCTCTTTTGATCAAACTTAATAGCAATTATATTTGTGGTCGTGTGCTGTGCAACAAATTGATAACAAATTTTCTTTCTTTTTTATTTCTTTCTCAAATCATTTAAATTAGCTAGGAAACTTTAATTAGTATCTAATAGGTATGTTTTAATTTTTTTCGTTTTTTTTTCTTGCAAATTAAATGTGATAGTAAGTACGTAGATTTTTGTCAGATGGAAATTTGTATAAACGGTATGCTTAATTAGTAAGAATTATTTTTAATTATTATCTTTTTGATTTGTTTTTTTTCTGATCGAACTTAAAAATAATTATATTTGTGGTCGTGTATGGTGTAATAATAAAAACATTTAAAAAGGAATTTACGTAGTTTAATTAATTTATTAACAAAAAATATAAAAATTGATTAGTAATAACTGAAACGATAAACACAATGGTATATAAATTTTATTTTTAACGAACACATAAAAGAAAGAATTAATGTCTTATAGAAAATGAAAACAATACCGTTCTAGAAAAAGAAAATTTAAGTATATCAGTATGATTTTTTAGTAATAGAAAATAATAAACGGTAGTAACATAAAAAAAAAAAAGAAATAATATAACAATTCTTACGAACTATGTGATCTTCTCACATAGATATAGAATCTTTATAACACTTGTAATTATGCATAAAATTAAATGTTTAGCGAACTGCTCATTAAATAATTCCAACGGTAAATGAATAAATAATAATGAATAAATAAATAAATAAATAAATATACTCGAATGAATGAATGAAAAATAATAATTGTTAGTAAAAAAAAAAAGAAATATGCATATGAAGAACGGTCCAATTATCATCGATTACATACCGCTATTATTATTACACACCACATTCAAAAGTCATACATATAAACCAACACAACTTGATTTAAATTAACTGAGATTTTCTACGCTCGAACCTAAGAGTTCACTGTTTTAATAGCGAGACTAGGATTTAGATACGTTGCTGATGATCTTAAAAGAGGAGGTAAAAGGAGAAAGATAAATGATAGATAGATAAGGTTGATAGATAAATAGATAAAGAAAGATAAACCGTGACGAAGATCGAGAATAAGGCGTGTTAAAGTCCTCCTCTTTTTCTAGTTTTGGTGTCAGCAAACGTTCTACGACTTCCCGACACCGTTTTAATTGCTCCTACTCTAACGGTAGCTTCCTATTCGCCGTAAATCTACTCGAAAATTTTCTTTTCCTTTCTAAACCTTTTTCTCCTTTTACATTTAATCGATTCTTTGACGTTTAGTACTCGTTTATTATTTTATTTATTTTTTCTTTTTTTTTCTTTTCTTAATTATCTAATAATGATTAATCTTAAATATTATTTTTTATAGATGGTTATAATTATTCAAAAATGTTTTCTATGAGTTTGGTAAAATTTTAGGATTAATTATAAATTGTTAACAATATTTCATTGTTATTATTATTATTATTATTATTATTATTATTATTATTATTATTATTATTTTTATTATTATTATTATTATTATTATATTAATTCTGTTCGATATTACAAATTAATCATCGATTAATAAATCAATGATTAATTTTTTAGTTGATAATAATTACAATATAAAATCAAATGTTGATTTGATGAATTATGATTTTATTTTAACTTACGTTGTACTCTCGTGGTATTGGGCCTATATCTTCGATGTTCTCGATCCCAAGTTTCCGGATGTCTCCGCCATTCTTCGTCAGCTACCACACCTGTTCCACCCCCTCCTGTTAATCCTTGAAGTCCTTGAAGAGTTTGCAATGCTTGAAGATTTGGACTTAATGGACGATTTTTTACAGATGATACTGGAACGTATGCTCCACCTTCTCCTACATAGACCACCTTAAAATAAAAAACATCATCATTAATAAATATAAAAAATATATAATCGGGTATAAAATATTAACAAGATCAAATTATAAAATAAAAAAAAAACAAAAATAAATTTAAAATTCGGATATAACAGTTTTACGAAATAAATCTACTTACTTAATAATTTAAATAATAGAAATATTACTAATATTTATATTAATAATATACATAAACATTTATTATAAACATTAAAAATAACTTAACAAATATCATATAAATATCAAGACAATATAAAATATTTATGCAAACTATCAAAATAATCCTAAAAAAAATACTATAAAAATACTTTCTATTTAATAAAAAAGAAAAAAATACCTAAAATACCAAGTTTCTTATACAGATGCATTTACAAACTCTCATATAGTATACTATTTTCTCATAAATCACGAAACATAACATCACCACCCCATTCCTCTCACAGATCACCTAACCCTCTTTTTCCTCTCTCTCTCTCTCTCTCTCATAACGTGAAACCTTTAACCTACGTTAACGAGTCCCTTTAACCCTAAGATCGACAAATCGCTACCGACCAAGAAGAGAAGAGAATAGTACAACAACATACTGTAGATGGAAATAGTACGAAGTCGTGATGAAGGGTAGAGGAAGAGGAGAAAGAAGAAGTAGAAGAAGAAGAGGAAGAGATCGTTCTCGAGAAGGAAGAAGAAAACTTCTTGAGGATCCACTCGAAAAACACGAGGCACGAGCAACGCGTGACTAACGCTTTACAAACTCGTGTATACACTTTTCTATCTCTCTCTCTCTCTCTATTTCTCATTTTATTGCTCATTTTTTGTAAGACTTCGTGTAAAATATGTATAATAAGCACCATTACTATTACATTCGTGTATACATTCGTTCTCTCTTTCTCTCTCTTTCTGGAACATTCTTAGTATTAAAACTTCTTAGTAAGTAAAACTTCGTGTAAATACGTATATATATATGAACAACGCTATTATTACATTCATCTATTCTATCTTGCACACATTAATTTTCTTAGTATAACTTTGTGTAAATATTTGTCTGTATGAGCACTACTACTATTTTACTCATGTATACATTCGTTTTCTCTCTTGTACATTTATTGTTACAATTTTAAAAATTCGTGTAAGTACGTGTGTGTACGAGTACTATTATTACTACATTCATGTATACACTCTCTTCTCTCTCTCTCTCTCTCTTTCTTGTACGCTCATTTTTACTCATTTATTGTAAAACTTACTACGTGTGTGTGTTTGTGTGTGTGTGTGTGTGTGTGAGTACTCCTACTGTTACACTCATTTATACATTTGTTCTCTCTCTCTTTTCTTTCTCTCTTACTTATATAATTATTCTCACATGAGTAAAATTTTGTTTAAATATGGGTAAGTTCAAACACTATTATTATTATGCGCATTTATACACTTTTTTATCTCTCTTTTTCTCATTTATATTTCATGATACTTCGTAGTAAAGTAAAATACTATTACTATTACTACTCGTGTATATATATCCTTGTCTATTTCTCTCTCTTACTCACTCATTCTTTGAAATACCTTATAGTATTATGAAGATACATGCATATATTTGTTCTATTACTATTACTCTTGTGCATATACTTTTTTTCCTCCTTTCTTACTAATTCTTTGTATACAATAGATAAGAGTACTTAAGTATTACTACTATTACAACATAAGAAGAATAAGTGTTGTATAAGAAAAGAAATAAAAATATGAAAAAAAACAAGAGGAATACACACATGGTTGTCAAGACGATGCATGGTTTATAAACACCTACCTCTGACGAATCATGTGAGGAAACTTGAAGAAGAAGAGCCAGAAGAAGAAAAAGGATGATAAAAGGGGAAGAGATAGACACGTGGTTGGTGGTAAACGTTCAGAGTACTAAAAACTTGCAAACAACCTCCATATGCCTTATGTTAGTTATGAAGAAACACCAGCATGTTATTTCTCTTCTTCACTCGTTTTTTTTATCTTTCTCTCTGTCTGTCTCTCTCTCTTTCTCTTTCTATCTTTCTTTCTTTTTCGCCATATTACACTTTCTTGTTAGAAAGCTCTTAAAGTCGCTTCCTTGTCACTCATTCTTCCATTCCACTACGGGAAATTATTGCTTTTCACGGATTCCTCTTTTGAGGAGCGTTTCTGGAATTCACGTAGGGTTTAAGAAAAGAGAATAAGAGATAGAGAGAGAGAGAGAGTGAAAGAAAGAAAGATGAGTATAGGGGAAGAAATTGTAGGAGGAGAGTATTGGAATCGTTTATAGGTCTTACTACTCGCCACGTTTATTTCTCTTGCTTATGTTAGTTGTTTTCTTGGTTTGCTGTAGTGTTGGTTGTAGCTATATTGGTTACTGTATTGTTAACTGATGTATTGGTTGTTGTATTGTTGGCTAGTTATATATTGGTTGGTATGTTGTTGGTTGTTTGTTCCTTCGTTATTTTGGTTACTTGGTTGGTAAATTGATGTGTTACGTGGTTAGTTTGTGTATTAATTGGTTGCAATGTTGTTAGTTGTTTTGTTCCTTATAATTAGTTACTGTGTTTTTGGTTATTTGGTTGGTAAGTTAATTGATGTGTTACTTGGTTTGTTTGTGTATTAATTGGTTACTATTTTGTTGGTTATTTTGTTCCTTAGTTAATGTGTTTATGGTTATTTGGTTGTTAAGTTAATTGATGTGTTACTTGGTTACTTGATTGATTAGTTGGTTTGTTTATTAATTGGTTGGTTGGTTGGTTCATTGGTTTGTGGACTAGTTGACTGGTGTGTTGGTTGTTGTCGGTGTGTTAGTTGGTAGGTCGGTGTGTTAGTTGGTTGGTTGGTGTGTTAGTTGAACTTATTTTTCACCTTTGTGCTCTTCTTCTTTTCGCGTGAAGATGAGAAATGAGAACTTGGTCGGTATTTTCGAATCTTTTCAAAGTCGTTTTTTCTCAAATATCTTAAGACAATTCCTTCTTCCTCGTTGTTTCGAAGACATTAAATAAAGAGAGAAAAGAATTGTGTTCAAGCGGTACCTTTGTGATAGAAATCGATGCCGACATGATGATCATCATCGTGCTCCCCTCGTCGAAAATGAGAATGAGAATCATAAAATACGTAATCGATTGGATCGATATCGCTCGAACCTTCTAGTTTTTTATTTTCTTCGTTATTTCTTTTTTTTTTTTACATTTATAGGTGTTAACGTCGGCGTTTACGAACTTAACGATTAACGATCTTATACCTTTTATTTTATACCTAGAAAAATTTTATGGAAGATTTTCTTTTCTTTTTTATTTTTTAATAAAAATAAAAACGTATAACTAAATTAATTTCACAAAATTTTTTCTTTCTTTTATTTTATATTTCTTTTTTCATTATTTTTACCCTTTCAATTATTTATTGCAAAATTTAAAATAATATTATTATTTAATTGTCCACCAATCATCTAAATAAATAAATTAATTAACAAATAAATACTTTAATTTATAGATTGAAATAATGATTGACATTTATTGATTATTTCACGAGTATCAAAGTAATCGTATATTATTATTGATTCGCACGATCGAAGGTAACGCTCTTTTCCAGTTATTCTGTCGTCTCCGATCGAGCGAAACACGGATCGATAACGGAAGAAATGCTGAGAGAATTCACCTCGATGTGTAACTATTCCCCATAGGGAAAAGTCGAAAGTAATTAATCGATCATTCGAAAGAAAGAATGAGAGAGATAAAGAGAGAACATGACTGATTCTATTTGCCTGATAAAATTCATGTGTCATGTCTAATAATTCGATAATATCGAAAGATAAGTTTTTCACGTCTTCTGTTCTAACAAATAAATAAATAAATACATAAATATTTTACATACTTGCAAATAGTAATGACAAAAAACACGATATCGATAAAAGACATAAATTTGTTTCAAATAAATTCATAATTTATATAATGAAAATGAAATTAATCGAAAGTTGAACAACAAAAAATATTTAAATTGTTGTTTTGAATGCTATGAAATAATAATGAATAATAATTAGGAATATTTGTAAGATTAGTATATTAAAAGTTAGAATAGTTTTCGTATCTACGTGAGTATTAACTTCCTGGATTTCTATTTCCCTCGCTTCCTTTTTCGCTATCTTGAAACTATTCCAACGACTTCAACGAAGGTCAAGGCAGACCGCATTACTATCCCGTACGTTTTCCATGACTCGTGATTGGTATCGTTTAAATCGAGTAAATACTTGTCGCGTAAATACGTTTCTATGAATGGCATTTAAATTTACTACGTTAATACTATATCGATATATATAGGGTGACTCATTACTCGTACATCTGAAATAATTTTTAAATTATTCATCTAATCAATAATTATTCGATACGAATGTTATATGACTTCTGATACAGCAAATGATGATGTATATCAGCTTTTCTAGTATGTTGAATGGTTTTTGAAATGTTTAAAGTCAACTTCTATTATTTTTCTTTTTAAATAGAATCGTATATTTTTTGGATCATATATTAGAAGAATATTAATTAAAAGCATTTACGTATATTTATCTTAAATCTGATGATTAATGAGATATTTGACGATAAGTTGCACGTAATTAGTTACCCTGTATAAAACTCGAATTCGTAATAAGTTGTTTATAATCTTATTCGACGATCTAAATAAAATTAATATCGATAATATCACATACCTAGATCATTGAAGAAAAACAAGAAATTGGATAAAAAAAGAAATGACAAGCGGAATATTTGAACGAACAAGAAGAAAATTTCTGTCAATACGTTTTTCAACGAGTTATCGTGTATAAACATCAGGGATAACCGTAACACAATTGATTATTGTTTGCCAATAGGGAAGCGTAAAAAGAGAAGATGAGAATGATGTGGCTGATCTTTACCCTTTTTTTATCTATTGGTATATTTTTTATCATTTGTCAATCATTCACCGAACGAGATCAACCTTTCACTAATAAAACTTGCGAATGTTAGCATTTTTTTAATTTTCTTTTTTTAATTCTTTAATTTTTTTTATTTTTTATAATTGATAAACATAGGCTAGTTTTTTTAAAAGTTTCTAGATAATATTAACTTTAAAATTACCAAGCATCTTGATTAAATTTTATCCTAGAAAAAAAAATGAAAACTCTCGTTGTATTTTAAATAATAATAATTATCATTGAACTTTGATAATTGGAGTTTTAATTTTTGGTTAATACTCTGTATTTTTATTAAAACAATTAATTTAATATGTTTATTTTAATATTAGGATATATAAAATTTAATGAAAATAATTAAATTTTTATTAAAAATACTGTTATATCACGAATGAAACTTACCGCATCGTGATCACTTGCCTCGTGAATCAAAGATTCTCTAGTCTCATTTTGCAGAGATTGCTCATCTTCCGGTCCAGATCCACTTCCTGCCCAATAATCCTCTGTAGTTTCCTCCAATGGCGTCTCTTCTCTATTTCCATCGTTATTTGGACTTTCCAAACTTGTTGCCTATTATTCAAGAAAAAAAATCCAAAAAATGATTTCTCTTTAATTTCGAGTTCTCATTTCTTTCAATTTTTTATTATCAAAAACATCTGGGTAATTTAATTTATATTGTGTTAAATTAAATTAGTTTTTACTTTAATACGAATTTGTTCAATGTCGTAACCAACATTTTTCGACAAACTAATAAAAATTAAATAAAACATTATATAAAAAAAATATTTTATAACAAAATTAAAAAAGATCGTATAAAAATTTGTAATTTTACTTGGTAATAATAAGAAAAAATGTCTACATCTGCATAAAATAATATAATATATAAAAGAAAACTAAATATTATAGGTCGAATATTATATCTATATTATATCTATATTATATCTAAAATATAAAAAAAATATTAATATTAATAATAATAACTATTATAGATATATATAATAAATAAATATTTATGTTTTAATTATTTTATCTAACCTGTATTACATTTTTTTTTGCAATTTAATCATATACATATTAAGTGGCCCAAAAAAAAAAGTCTTTTGCCTATCATCTCAAAAGTTTCTCTAAGGTATAAAAAAAATTCCCTCCAAAACGCAGCTTGATATCTCAATTCTCCACGAAGCTCAATGAATTTCTATTTTCCCGTTTAAATAACACGTAAAAAAATTTTTTTTACGTTTTTATCCGGTAGAACTACGAAAAAAAATTTTTTCTGAATATTCCATCAATTATTCTTGTAAGAAATTTAATTCTCTACCAATAAGTACTGAGGTAATTTTTTTGTAATCCTAACGGGTAAAAAGTTATTGGAGCTTTAAATACCATTCTAATACATATATTTTAAATTATATTTAATTGAGTAATAAAAAAAAACTTTGTAAATGATACTACTAACCTTGTAACTTGGCGTAGTTATGGTCAAGATCCATACAACGGCATACCTGTAACACAAAAGGAATTTGTCATGTTATATCAAGTTCACTGATCATCTTACAAAAACATCACAGAAATTTGTCGTGTTTACCACAAACAACTCTTGTAAAGCCACTAGATAAGATCATACACTTTTTCTCTCTCTCTTATTTTCTTTATTTTTCTTTATATATCTTTCATTTTCTCTGTTATTGGCGAAAAACTTTGTTCTCACGGTTTCAAAATACCACTTCGAGAACCGTAAAAAGACCATCTTTAGGGAATAACAAAATATATTTTTCTTTTCATCGAGGTTACACGTACCAACAAGGTCTACCACGATAAAATCTTTTAAACGATTATCGCGAAACAGTGACATCCATGAACTTTGACCTACGAGTAGTATATTCATACAGAATGTGAGTCACTGTGAAACAGTTTCTCATATAACTCGTATTTTATTAATTGTATCGAAAAATTGTTCAAATAAATTTTAGCAACATTATAAAAGATCTACGAGATGAGTATAATTCCATATTTTGTTTCTGAGATATTTTAAATTGACCTTAAATTGAATTCCATAAAATATACAAATAAAATATGGAATATAACTAATTGTATTAGATATTAAAAAAAAAAAAACAAACAAATTCAATTATATTTCATTTAATTAATTTTCTGAAATGATGAATAATTTATTGAAGTATTTTTTTAAATTATATTCATAATTTTAATGCTAATGTACATGCAATAATAAAAATAATACAAGAAAATATAATATTTACGAGTTTTCGCTTAGAATATATAAGTTTACGTGATAGAGAAGAAAATAAAGAATAAAAAGTGGTAAGAGAATCCTTCGGGAGCAAGAAACTCGTAAGTAGACTTGAGAGATGATTCACATCATCTGATTGTGAGATTCCACGAGAATGCAAAGTAAGAAGAAGAAAATGATGATAATGAAGAGGAAGTAGACGTAGAAGAAGAAGAAGAAGAAGAAGACGAAGGTTCGGAAATAAGAGCACAAGTAGATGATCACTACTACTTGACTAATGACTTCTCTTTATATACACGGTGTCCTACTTCAATTGATTCATCATAAAATTAAAAATTCATAATGAATTTTAATAATCATTAAAAAATTGTGAAACTTTTGTGAACAGAATTAAATGTCAAATATTATTTTAATTTTATTGTAAAATTAGGATTGATCGTTTATCATTGATGAATTGAATTAAAACACCCAGTATATATGTATACTCGATCCTACTTGTATACGCGTCACGATCCTTGGCTGTCATCGTTCATTCGTATATGTGTAATAAACAACGATTGCGTATGCACTATTCTAAGAGCATTTATATGCGTATACTCTCTCGAGTACTTGGATACTTCCTTCTCCTACCAATTTTAATACTTTCTTTCTTTGATCTGCCACCGACCGTTAAACGTAATACTTCTTACAATCAGAATGATATCTGAAATCGGATTGCCAAGGATCTTACATGCATCTATTTACATTCATGCATACAAATTTATTTAAGTATATACGTCCAATTTTCATAACAAAATATAATCATGTTCATATTCTGTTTCTATAATTAAATTTATTTGTTTGTTGATTTAACGAAAAAAAAGAAAGAAATGATTCTTAATGTTTCGTGGAATCGTGATTTTAGGTTAAAATTAATTAGAGGGAATTTGGGATTTTAAAGAAATGATAATATTATATTAAGAAATATAATGGTTTTATATGATGTTTCTCAAATAATTGTTGCACTAATCACGAACCCTTCCAGTTACTCGATACGACAAATAATGAATAAATAAATAATTATATAAAATCAAATAAAAAAATAATATAAAATATCTATCCTTATAACCTAGAGTAACATTATATATTATTACTATATTCAATACTTTTATTTCCAATATAAAATTCTTTGATCAGTTACCGTTCTTCTAATTAGGAATGTAGTTGGGATGCAATAATTATGAATAATAATAATAATAATAATAATAATAATAATAATAATAATAATAATAATAATAATAATAATAATAATAATAATTACAAAAAGATAACTAATATAAAAGAAAAAACAAAAAAAAAATAAGAAAATATATTTTCGTGTTTTTGATTCTTGTTAAGAAATGAAATGGAAGAAGGCGGCAAAGGATTAACGGCAATCTTTCTTGGCGTTCTCGTCCCGCGAACGCATCTTCAGGCTTCGTCCCACACCCGACAGCTTCCGTTCTATTTACCACAATTTCCATCCATCTCGCGAGCGAACACGAACGAATAATAATTACATCGAGCAGAAGGAATTTGCCTCGGGGATTTTTCTATCCTATCTTTATCCATTTCTATCTATCTATCTATCTCTATTTCTGTCTATCTTTATTGAAGTTAAAGTTGTTAAAGGATAGTCAGAGCAAATGATTCATCGATCGCTCTACTTCCATTTCATTCTTTCTTTTTCTATCTTTATCTTTCTCTCTCTCTCTTTCTCTTTCTCTTTCTTTCTGCTTTGCTGTTTGTATCCAAGTTCTCTTATGTTTTTCTTTTCGCAAACTCGTCAGTTATAATCACAGCTAATTTGTGCCGAGTAACGTTTTCCTTTCTATCCTTATTTTTCGTCTTTACCTTTCTCTCTTTCTCTCTCTCTCTCTTTTTCTTTAATTCTTTTTTTATTTTTCCGTGGACTATTATTCTTTTGTCTTGTTCAATTTAGAAGGATCGTTACTATTAAGGAGCTGTCTGTTTGTACGTTTCTTTCTTTCTTTCTCTACTTTCTGTTATTCATAATCATTGTCTGTGTTAGTAATTATATTTTTAAATGACAGACATTTTTTTGCATCTAATACTATATTCTACTTCCATTAATAAATATTATCTGTCTTTTTGTCTTTTTTTCCTATTATTATTATTATTATTTATTTTTTGTAATTATTTCGCAGGCAATAGAAATTTTACTAAATCTTCTAATTATTTTAAAACACATAAATTATAAATAAATAAAGTAAATAAATAATAAGTATAGTATATAAAAGAAAGAATTTAAAAAGTACATAAAGTATATAAATTAAATAATAAAAAAATTATAAATAAGTAAAGTAAATTAATTTTAAGCGATAGTAATTGTTTAAAAAATCTAATATAGTCTTTTTTTTATTTAACCCTTTTGAGCGCTGAATATTATACTTTTAGCTGAAATGTTTTTTAAGGATGGTATAGTTTTTTATTAGTGAAACTATTTCCGTTGATGGATATTATTAACTAGATTTAATAATAAATCATATTTAATAATTAAAGTTTTTGTTTCTTATGTAATATTCATGTAATAAGACTCAAAACAATAATCAATATGCAAACCTATATTACATCATTTTACATCATTTCATTCAAACAAATATTTATATGCATTGATAGCAGTCAAAGGATTAATTAAAAAAATGATATATCTTTTTATTTTACTTATCTTTCTCATAATTGCTATCTTATTTAATTTTGACACAATTTTAATTATTTTTACAAAAAATAAAAAATAAAACTATAATATTATTGTATATTAATAATTAAAATACATTCCAAATAATGTAGATTATAAATTAATGACAAATTTTGTTTAAAAATTCATTGGCATCTTGAATTTTATAACGTCGCTGTTGGGGTGGATTTTTTCAACGTTATTGTTATTTAAAAATATCTGAAAAAAATATATTATTAATCTTTAGTTATTATTAGAATATTATCTAATAATTTAATTTATTATTTACAATAAATAGCTATTCAAATATTGTAGGTTCCCAAAGAAAGATCCACGGTGATGAGATGTAGGGTTAAAATATTTCGATTTCATTTAAGGAAATAATTTAATTTTCGCAAAAAATTATCACCTGATATTAAAAGTAACGAAATTGTTTTTTCCTCCACCTTTCTCCACCGATGATAATTCTAAGGAAATATTAAGAATAACAAAAAGTAAATGCTTGCGTGGGTATTCAAATGGTAGGAAATGTTCGATGCTCTTCCTTAGCGTGGGCTTTGAAGTAAAAGCTTCACCCACGTAATTATTTTTCTTTACTATGACCGAATAAAAATGTTTAAGTGGCTTGAGGCATCTTCTCGACTTCTCGTCTTTCGTTTTCTCCTTTCCTTTTCCTTCTTATTTTTCTTCTTCTCCTTCTTCTTCGTGTACTTCTTCGTGTTCTTCTTCTTTTGCTACATGTTCGAAATCGTTGAGTTATCCCGCAACGAGCATAATCATTTCGCGAGTTATGCATTACCGCAACTGCGTGTGGTCAGAGATCATTCGATTTGATAAAATAAAGAAAAAAAGTGAAAAACGAGAGATTTCATTTCTTTGTTATTTTTTTTTCTTTTTTTTCTTTTTTCTTTTTTTTTAAAATTGTTTCACGTCAATTATCTATCCATTGTTTTCAATTGTTCGAACGAGATTCGTTTTTTTCTCTTTTTATATCTCGATAAATATTAAAATCATTTTTGGAATTAACTTAGGATTTTTTTTTTATATCCAATCTGTTATTAATATTTAAAATTTAAATGACTAAGGTAGATAAATTTGAATTATAATTCTCACTTTCAAATTTATGTTAAACTTTTCTATAAATTATTTTTTTGCTCGGATGAATATTAATGTTAAACTAAAATAATAAAAATACTTTGTTCGCTTCCAATAATTATAAAAATTTTCATTAAAGAATAAATTTCGAACGAAGATTATTTGTGTGTAACAATAAACGTATACACTATTTTTATTTCTTCGTAGATATTATATTGATACGTATGTAAATAAACATTTTAAAACCTGCTCGTGTCTTCGGAACTCGAGCAAAAAACTTCTTTCATCGTGTTTATTATGTGTATGCGTGCGCATGTTATTCTTTCACATCTTCGTCACTGACCAATATTCTCATTCCTGGAAGGTTACTCGGCTTGAAATAACTTTGAGGTAGGTCAATTTTCGTCTTAAAAGAAAACGATTAAAGAATATAAATGGGAATA